TCATGAGAATTAAATACAAAAATAATAACAACTTATGTCTGATGCATTAAATAACAATAACATTGTTTATCCCTTTACTTTCCTATTCACAGTGTGGTTCATAGTCAAGAATAACAAACCAATATAAAGGACTAGATAGATGAGCAAAGAACACTTCACCCATACCCTGATTCATTCCACAGACCTGGTATATTTTCCTACTTTCTAGGAATGCATCCTGGATTGAATGAGGCCTTTTAGAGAATGAATACTTTATTATTTCAATTAAAATTGATCCTGCTAAGACATCCCAACATGCAGAGACATGGTTGGAGTCACAGAGATTGTCGGGAAAGAAAGGGAGTATGGCTCAGGGAGTGAGGCAGGCACTGTGTTGTTAGAAAAACCCAGGTGCACACATCACAGGTATGCACTGGCACTTGACTGTTTGCATGAAACTGGGCAAGTGAGTCTTTTTATTCTCAGTTTCTGCATCTGTTAAATGATGATAATGAGTATACATGTCATCTCACAGAGGTGTTAGGGAATAAAATTAGTATATTTAGCCCCTCCTTGCCACTTATTTTATTTATTTATTTTTTTATCCTCACCCGAGGACATTTTTTCCATTTTTTGTTCAGATGGAGTGGGAGGGAGAGAGAGAGAGAGAAACATCGATGTGAAGGGACACATCGAGTGGATGCCACCCGCACGGACCAACCAGGGCCGGGGACAAACTGCAACCGAGGTACGTGCCCTTAGTGGGAACCGAACCCGGGTCTCTCTGTACCGCAGGCCGACGCTCTAACTGCTGAGCCAAACCGGCCAGGGCCTTCTTGCCACTTAATAAGCACTCACTAGTGACAATATTCACAGCAGTAGCAGGGACAAATTAGATTAGATGAGGTTAGACTATTTAGCGTGTAACTATTTAAAAAACAAAAACAGACACAAATAATTCTGTACCCATTCAGCAACCTTGAGTAAAAGAATCTAAAATACGTGCTAGGTTTTCATTTTCCATTTATGATATGACATTGATGGTGTCTTTACTAACTAGTAGTGCTAACTGCTACCATATATTTTATTTAATGACTCAATTTAATTTTCTCAGTAACCCTGTGTGGAAGATGATATGAGCCAATATACACACGAGGAAACTGAGCCTCAGAGAATTCCAGAGACCAGCTGTCTGACTGGGAGGACCAGTGACAGGGATTAAACATTAGTTTAAGTTGAAAACATGTCATCTTTCAAATAATTTACACAAATTTATTTTATATTACCACAAGATATTTAGCACTGAAAAATGTAGCAAATGCTTAATTAATTTTCCTAGAAGGGAGAAGGTACAGCCATAAATTTTGCCTCTATTTTCCCCTGGAAAGGATATACAAACCCTAAACATAGATACAGATACAGATACAGATACAGATACAGATACAGATACAGATACAGATATATAGATATAGACATAGATACAGATATAGGGTAAAGTATAAGAATTTCAAAACACATAATATTTCCTGCTTGACAATGTGCTTGAAAAAGTCGTGAGTCTCATGGTAAGTAGACCAACCAATAAATGACTGCCTGTTTTCACACTGCAGATGGCACAACAGATGCCTATTTCTTGCTAATGGCCAAGTAAACATTCCCCCAAAGGTGGACTCATCCTTGTCAGTATATAAACTACAACAGTCCTAAAAAGACAGTGATGCTCTGTTCTTTGTTACTCAGTATTCCCTGAAGACTGTGTCATGTCCTCCTGTTCTACTAGGCTCACACAGAAGTACATATTGCTGTGGCTAGCGAGAAAATTTCATTTTCTACTCAAATCAACTAATTGTGCATTAGCAAAAAATGGTTGTTCTCTAACTCAGCTGGCGGGGGGAGGGGTGCAACTACAAAAATGCAGAACAGATACTGGAAAATGCCATTGGTGGTTCTTATGTTTACATTCCGTGGAGCCTGTCCATGTCCACAAGAACTGTGTGGGGCTTGCCTTGTGAACAACACATCAAAACTCTGCTGTAAATTCTTTGAATCAGTGTCCACCCTTCTTTGGGAGGGACCACAGATGTCAGTCAAAGAACTAGTCTGACGAGTATTGACAATAAAGATAAATTTAAAAAATAAATAAATAAAACAATCTATTTTTTTGTTGTTATTGTTGTTAATCCTCACCCAAGGATATTTTTTATTGATTTTTAGAAAGAGTGGAAGGGAGGTAGGAAAAAGAGAGAAAGACATTAATGTGAGAGAGACACATTGATTGATTGCGTCCCACACAATCAACTGGGGCTGGGGATTGAACGGGCAACCCAGGTACATGCCCTTGACCAGGAAGCAAACCTGTGACCCTTCAGTTCGAGGGCCAATTCTATAACCACTGAGTCAAACCAGTCAGGGCTAAAACAATCTATATTTATCCTTAAAAAAAAAAAAAAAGAAGTAGTATAGATACATCCGTGTCATCAAATGATACTTCAGCTGTTCATCTCCTCCTGATAGCACCCTTTGGTTTGCCTGGAAAACAAAATGCTCTCAGGTTGGGCAGTTGCTGCTGAGTAGCTTCACATTTCCTCTACGGCTGCCATTCATATCAGTGACAGTAATATAAACAACAACACAATGATAAGAACAATCAACTACAATGATCATCATTACTTGATTCCCCATGAATTATCATCAGTGAATATCCACTTTAACATTAGTAAATGGATAAAATGTGTAAAATCCAGTGGGGAGACGATGAGCCTGGAGTTTTACCCAGTTCTGCCAATGTGAGCTGACTGTCACTGTGCTATGAAAAGTACCTCACACCTCATTGCTAGCTGATGAAGAACATGCTCTGCACAGGAAGTGGGTTCCTGCTGAGACTGCGGATTTCATGTTTGGAGTGTATCTGTGATTGCCCTGATAGTTACACTCCTCACTTTCCCGAAGGGCCCTTGGCTTGGAGCACTCCTGAGCTCCCTGTGTGTTCCTTGCTAACAAGAGTAGAAATCTTGTCAAACCAAGTGCCAAAACAGACCCCACAACTGGTCTCTCAGCTGGACCAATCTTGCTTATTCCCTTCACATTCTGTCACTTACACTTGGAGATGTGCAGAAAGTGGTCATTGCTTCTTGTTCTGTGTTCTTTATCCAGAGGAAATGAAGTGACATGAAAACAGGCAGATGTATTCATTCAAAAAATATAATTCCTCCTAGTTTATAACAGGATTTCAAGATGAAGTCATTTCACAACTTTACTATTTAATCAGAAAATAGATATTAAATGTAATTTTAATTTCTGGATACCTCCTGCCCTTGTATTCAACACTTGGCCCTCTGAGAGATACTTGTCTTAGCCGAATGCAGGGCATTCTGTATGTCTATAGCTTGTTGGAGTCCTTCAGAACTGGAAATGGACAGCTGACCATACTCAAATCACCAGGTGGTGTTTTACCTTTTGAGAGTTTGGGCCCTTTTGAAAGAAGCACTTTTTATTTGTTTATTTATTTTTGTATCCCATGGGATACACTCTTTATTATCCTTACTTTAGAAATGTTTTGTGTTAAAAATATCTTTTCTGGATCCTAAAAGAATTATTGTGTGCCCAAACTCAAATTGTTTGGGGCTTAGATTGACTGGGTTTCACCTCCAACCTCATCATTTCAACACCCTTGTGAGTTATAAGAATGTAATACATAAAAAAAGAAGTAAATTAATAAAACCTCCAGAACACTTATTTGTCTAGAGTTTCCCTGAATAAAGTAATTAGAAGAATATTAGTCCCTAACCCAGCCAGTGTGGCTCAGTGGCTGAGTGTCGACCCAGGCACCAAGAGGTCACCAGTTCGATTCCCAGTCAGGTTGCATGCTCAGATTGTGGGCCTGATCCCCAGTGGGGGGCATGCAGAAGGCGGCCAATTGATATTGTCTCTCATTGGTGTTTCTATCTCTCTCTCTCTAAAATCAATAAAGAAAAAATAATAATAATTAAAAAAAAATAAAGAAGAGTGTTAGTTCCTGTGACCTAAATGAATGCATTGGGTATGAGCTGAAATCTAACTTACAGAGTAATTGAACAATTCTTTAAAATTGTATTAATTCCTCCATTAAGTTTTCTCTTTTATTTCAACAAACATTTCTAAGACAATATTTCAAATCTACACTCAAACATATCATTAGCCAACACTTCACCTTTGGAGACCAGTGTACACGTTATAGATTTGCAGTGTTCTCTTAGGAAAGAAATACTATTCAGCGTGAGCCTTGTACTGTCATTTGGGTGGCTGGGAAAGAGAAAAGCTGTACGCAGTTCAACAGAAAAAAATAGGTTTGAGTCTTGTTTCTTAAAAAAAGGGCAGAAAAACCTCAACAAAGGCTCATTTCTCACCTCAGGAAAAAATTTTGAGCAAGGAAAGTATAAACAAAAGGTATTTTTGAAATAGCAGAGAAAGATTTTGTCTGAAAGTCTCCAATCCAGATATGCTGACCGACCAGAAAAGCCCATAAAGTGATAAGAAGATAATTTCAAAGCCAAACACCAAATACAGAAATAAGATAAGGGCCTCTTAATGTGTTGAGACAGTGGTCTCATGCCTCTAAATTCTCATATATAATTTACTGTATCTGTCAAAGGAGAAAGAAGAAAAAACAGGAATACTTTCATAATGATAGGGGAAAAAATACATAAACAAGCAAAACAAAATAATATAAAAGACCCCAAAATACACCACAAAACATATGCAATTTTGTGTTCTCATTGAGTTCTCTGAACGCTGGAATAGCTTCATCTTGATATACCTGGCTTTGGGCATTGTATGTAGTTCTGAGTTGTGTGTGTGTGTGTGTGTGTGTGTGCGCACGCACACACACACCGGTGTTTACAAACACATACACATACAGTCAGTGTTGGCTAAAATTCTTTGGTCATGTGAGGTTAGGCCCAAAGGCAGCCACATAGGATGTACACATAATTGCATTCTGTAATGACTTGCTTATCATTTGATGTTGCCAATAAGAGACATACCTTATAGGACTGGAAGTGATATCAGGGTCACGAGCGGTCACTTGCCCAATCACAGAGTTGAGAGCAGCATTTTCATGAACTTCAAGGAGGTAAGTAGGTGAAGAGAAGACAGGAGGCTCATCGGCATCCTCAACGACAATTTTGACAGTTGCCGTATCTTTAAAGGGCCCCCTGCCACTGAAACGTGGGTCAACGTGGACATTGGCTGCCTCCACCTTCAACGTGTAAGATTTTTTGGTCTCAAAGTCCAGAGGCTATAAAGAAATGACAAAGACGAATGTTTTTCACTAATGACCACAGCAGCAAGAACAAATAAGTGTAATGCTGATGGATGATAGTTATGTGCATAGAAGCCCATTTGTAAGACTTAATGGGATTCCTCTCCATTCCTCCAGATTCAACCTGTAAATTTTATAGGCATTTATTGATATCTGTTCATTATACAAGCTCGGTGAATCTAATCTCTTATTGTTGTGTTTTGTTTTGCTCATTTCACTTGGAATTCACAAAATATTCACAGTCATGAATTGTGCCATCAAAATTTCACTTCAGAGTCATAATAAAAGTTTACTAGTGGTAACGTGACCTGCATACGAATCATCCAGTTAATTGAGCCTCTGCTGGTAGAAGATAAGGCAGCATCAAACACAATCTCAATCTGGGAAGAATATTTTTTCATTCTTGCAACAGTGTGTGAAATGTGAAGAACTAGAAATAATTATTGTTTAGTGCAAGGAGACATTATAAGGCATAATTTAGCACTAATCTCAACAAAGAGTGTTTTCTTATTTCACTTCCAAAGCATTGCAGCTCGACTGATCATGTGGCAAAAATGAGGTTTATTATTTTTTAGGGCATTCATAGAAAGTCTCTATTATGAATTCTGTGCTAAGGATTAGGTGGGCATACAAAGTATGTATGCAGACACACATATACTTGTGTTTATATTTAGAAGAAGGAAGGATGAGAACCGTATGTAGAACCACCTAGGTCTCATCAACAACTAAAATCAAATTGAAATGACCTCATTGCACGATTACTGAGAACATTTCTGTCATATTAATAACTCACTCCTTAAAAGCCCAGAGACTTCAGTTAATGACCTAGGTAAATATAGCTAGGCCAAAAAAAAAAAAAAAACAAAAAAAAAAAAAAAAAACCACCATAATTCCCTTAAATAACCAGAAGCTCATCAGCCTCAGAATCCAATTCCCGGCAACTCATAATATTTTAGATTTCAAGAAAGTACATCTGTCAAGGCTCAAAGACAGAATTTAGGTTTCCACTGCAATTTCCTACATGAAATAGAACTTTAAATCTGCAATGCAGATTTTAAAAACAAAAAAAGCTGAAACACAAGCCAGCATTCGTGAACACTTCAAAACTCAACTCTTATTTCAAAATTTTATATTGTTTTTATAGTTGAATTCAGTTCTAAAGTGACTTTACATTTTTTGGAAATATTTTCTAGTAAATGAGGCAGATACTCATTTCCCTGTTTTTTTTTGAAATTACGAGGTACAGGTACCAGTGAGTGGATGATGCAGCATCAGCATTTTGCTGATCATCCCTACTGTAACACTTTTGCAATTTTAAATTCTTCAGAAACACTAGCGAGTGTAACTGATTATGTTCAGCTTAATTCTTAGCTCTACAAGGTGACAATGCCCCTCCCCCAAACATCCTGGTGTCATTGGGATTTTATCAGACCAAAAAGAGGACCCATGAATTGTAGAAAAAGGACTCCCTTATACAGTTTTCTCTAGAGTAAAATACATGTTTTTTTTTTTTTTTTTTGGTGTTAAAATATGTAGTATATGCTTCTAAGTTTATGAATAACACAGCTGATGGCTAATTGCTTCAGTTCATAAAAGCACCTTATGGTAACAAAGGATAGCAGTTAATAATAACAATAAAAACGACATAAGGAATCATTAGCCAAGGAAAATGTGGCTTTGGGTTATTCAATAATTGACTCAAGTATAATTATTCTGTACTCTATGTCAAACATAAGTTTCTAAATGCTTTGCAGTGCTTAACCCTAAACTTGAGCATGTGTAAAGGCAGTGTTGCTCAGCAGAGAGTCGAAATAAATGGAGCCATTTTTATCAAAATCGATCTTAAAATGTATTTTGTATACCAAAGTAAATTCAGAAAACTCCAGGTTTTCATTGCCAATATCTCTTCAGTGGGGAATTTTAAGAGCATGATCATTGGAAGGCAGATCCCTGTGCACCATGACAGAGAATTACAGAGTAAATTTGGTGTTATGTCAGAAATATTGATCAGGACAGAGGGTAAAATTATGAGCTCTGAATAGTGTGGTCCACCATCTATCTTCTTATTCATGAACAAGCAAAACTAATTTAAAAATTAATTTGTACTATTCCATGACAGCGATATGAAGAATAATATTAAACAAAATACTTACAATGAGAATACAAGGGTGTTTTCCTTGCAAATGCCCATGTCCATAAAATAACAAATTGTGTTTTAAACATTTTTTTTATGAATGTAGATGTCATGATGAAAAATAAATATGGAAAGTGTTGTAAGGAATTTTTTACTACAATAGAAAGAAATGGTTGCTGGCAAAAGCAGTCACAAATTGTACACATTATTTGTATGTTATTTATGGAGATGTTTCTTTCTCCAGTGGCAGCCCCACACTCAGAAGCAAGGCAAAGATGAGCTTCATTTAACATAATGCTTGAACTATTGACGCATGGGGAGAACCCAGTGGTAGTGAGGCTGGTGCTGTTCTCCCAGTGCCCAAAACTAGCCAGATACCTGAAGCTGATGCGACTTCTGTCTTTGAGTTTCCCTGAAAGCAGAGCCTACGATCAAGACTTCAGTGAGCTTTGTGGAGATATCCCAGGAGGAGGGCAGAAATGGGGAGAATCAATATAGAGAAGGATTAAAAGCTATTGAACTTGCCACCTCTGTGGGCAAGTGAGGCTTCTTCCTACTGGAAATCCTCTTCAGAACCGTAGACAATATATCTCAAAATAATTTCTTCAAAGACTAGAAACTGTCCACCCATCTGTATCCCTCATTGCTTGAGGGCTGTCTTTCAGGTGTTAACTTCCCTATAAATTCTTGCAGTTTAGAGAAAGGCAGTGTAGCCCTGGCAGATTTGGGTCAGCAGTTAGAGCGTCGGCCTTCGGTCCAGAGAGACCCGGTTCGGTTCCCACTAAGGGCGTGTGCCTCGGTTGCAGTTTGTCTCTGGCCCTGGTTGGGTTATGCGGGTGGCAGCCACTCGATGTGTCCCTTTCACGTTGATGTTTCTCTCTCTCTCTCTCTCTCTCTCTCTCTCTCTCTCTCTCTCTTCCTCTCTCTCCCTCCCCCTCTATCTGAACAAAAAATGGGAAAATGTCCTCAGCTGAGGATAAAAAAAAAGAGAGAGAGAGAGAGAAAGGTAGTGTGGCTTGGAGGGAGCCAGAGAATGGGTGAGCCTGGCTAGTGGCTAGCATCACCATGGTAACTCTTTCACGGAGCTTTAGCTGGTATGTAAAGTGAGGCCAAGGAGTATGAGGTGTAAAATTAACTCTACTTTTTCATAGCTAAAGAAGCAACACCACCTCTATCAGCTCTAAGACTGTCAGGAAGTCCACCCAACTCCCACAAACTTCAATACTCAAGTTTCAAAGAGGTATTTTTGAATGTGAACAAAAATGTCCTTTGCTTACCTTTCTTAGTCTTATAATGCCATCCTGAGCCTGGGCATCAGCGGTGATTTCAAAGAGTGCTGTTCCATCCCCATCAATAATGTCATATGATGACTGTGCATTTTCACCAATGTCCTGATCATTGGCCTTCACCCTGCCTACGGCAGCGCCAAGAACCACATCTTCAGGTACTGAGAAGTGATAGAGACCTTAGAAAAGAGGAGAAACAATGAGCATTGCACAGATTGCACTCATCCATTCATTTAGCAAACATTTATTGGGCACCTCCTTTGTTCTGGGCCCTTCTGTAAATGCTACCACTACAATGTGGGAAAGACAAAAATATTCCTTTAACTGTGGAATGTACACAATTTTATTTATTTTTATTGATTGATTTGAGAGAGAGAGAGAGATTGATTTGTTGTTCCACCTATTTATGCATTTATTGGCTGATCTTGTATGTGTCCTGACTGGGGATTGAACCTCGGCATATCAGGAAGATGCTCTAACTAATTGAGCTACCCAGCCAGGACATACAATATTTTAAATGAGTCAGAGACAGAGTTCCCAGAAGAAGTAGTGATTGCTCTTCAAGACTCTTGTGAGACACGAAACTATGTAGTTGGAGCAGAGTTATATCAGGGCATTAGTGAACCTACGTGAGCATGATTTCCAGTTTACTGTACAATCACATTGCCTGCCTGTGGGGATATTGATTGCTGCCCAACATAAAATAGTAAGCTAATTTTAGCGCAGAAAGATGCAATGCGTAACACACAGAAAGTGACTTTTGAAGTTACCTTTATATTTACAGACTCGTGGAGCATTTCTGATAAAATCCAATTACTACACTTCTGCTGTGCCCTGCAGCAAGCTGTTCAGACACAGGAAACACTCCTCTTGATACCAAAGCCCTTCCTCACTGCTCTGAAGACCAGAAATCCTACCTTCCAAACTCTCTAGGCAAAATACAACTACAGTGTGTGTTCATTCTCTTAGGGGGACAGTAAAACATGGCTAATTAGTGATATCTTCATTCAAATCACTTTAGTTGTTGTTTTAGTGTTATTCATTGTCACTGGTGTGGGGGAAGCTGCTGGAACCATTAACCCCTGGCTATTCCCACTTCACGCACAGCTGCCCTACATCTCACTGCCAACTCCTGCATTTATTTGCCTGAGGGTTTTCTCTGGTTTTCAGAACTCACTTTGGCCCCTGCCTGTCAGACCAGAACTGGAGAGAATTAATGCCCCACAGAAGCAGCCCTCAAAAACGAACAGAAGTTACTATATAATATCCCAGGCTCCTCCCTTCCCTGGTAGGATAACATTTCTAATTTTTTTTTTTTTTTGCTTGTTTATTTACACTGTTCCAGAGTTTTCCCAATGGGATAAACTCCAGCCATCCACAGTGGTAGTTGGCTTGATAATGCACATTATTGGCTCTCTGTCTTTTTCTCTCACACACATCCTCATTTCCCTACTGGCATTTCTTGGCATCATATCCAAGATAAACTACTTATAATCAAATTCTTTTCTCAGTCTCTGTTTCTGGGGAATCCAAACCGAAACAACCAGGAAGTTTTAGTCCCATTGCAACAAAAACAAGGGGAAAATAAACACTCAATAAACTATAAACCCAAAACGAAAAATTAAATCTGGAGAACATTACCAAATTGTAGTTTGAACTCAATCACTGGGCCCCTTGGATAAACTAAGGCTCATTTTACCCACTATAACAAGATTAGTTCAGATGATGCATAAAGTTTTCTTCTAGCACTAACATACTTTCATTTAATGATGACATAAAAATGTCCCTTAGAATCATGAAATGATGGGACTGGGGAACAAAATGTTTTCCAAATCGCTATGCACTAAAAATCATCATGTTGAGCACAAGTCTCCCAATTCTCTCATAATTGGTGTAATGATTCCATTTCCTTCAGACTTTATATTCCAGGTAAGGTTTGAGATGGTCCATTCAGGTATGCCTATTAAGTAAATAAGCCAGCAAGGGACCTCACCTTGCTGCCAGTCCTGATTCAGAGAGCTTTGGGAAACCAAGCAAATAGAACATTTCTGTATTCATTTCTGTTCTCACTCCCATCATCTCTATCAGTGTGATCATACTTAATAGTTATTACCTCTAAGAAAAGGAACAGTTCTGAAACCCACCTGTCACTGCTGAATTGAAACAATCCTTTTTCCAAGAAAGAAGAGTTTTATATTAGAGCATTAACTATGATGGCAACTGAAAAGAGGAAATAAGAGATTGGGGAAAGGATAGGAGAAATGCTATTCTCCATTTCAATAATGTTGTTCAAAAGGGTTGCATTGTTGTCTGACTTATGAATGGCCAGAAGTGAAATTTCTCAATGAAAATGCATCTTGTAGTTCTTTCTATCTTGGAATTTCTGAAGATAAATTCTCAAAGGTACCTCAAATATGTCATTTTCAAATCCCACCTCTGTCTCTCTTCCCTCTCTCTCTCTCTGTCCTTGCTTCTCTCTCTTTAAAAACTGGTTCTTCTATGGTATTTCATATCCCAGCAAACAGCAAGCACCAGCATGCATCATCCAATAATGTATATCATGTCAGAAATATAACTCACCTCCTCACCTAAAAATGCAATCTATCCTCAGATTTTTGTTATCATTACCTCTCAAATACTCGTCACAACCATACACTCTTCTCTGCTTCCACTGAGACCCCCTGATGGTGCCACAGCTACCATCACCTTTTACATGAATGACTAAAGTCACCTGTTCCAGACTGACAAACTTCAGAGGAGGGCGCAGGAGGGAGAGGGATGATATAAACCAAAGAACTTATATGCATGTATGCATAACCAATGGACATAGACAACAATGCTGGGGGGGGGGGGTGATTGGGAGGAGAGTGTCCAGGAGGAAAAAGGAGAAACATCTGTAACAAAAATAAATTAATTAATAATAAAAAATCATCTGTTAACTGGCTGGAATGTGAGATGACACTGGAAAAAGGCCAGCTTTCATTTTCTCTGATTTCCCTGAAATAAAATCCTATTTCTCAAGCTACAACTTAAAATCTTTTCTCTCTCTGTCTGTCATCTTTTTCTTTTTTTTTTTTTTTCAATTTAGAATCTTTACTGCTTCCCAGTGATGTTAGGATAAAGGTCATGGTACTTGAAGTGGTCTACAAATCCAATATACCTAACTCCTGCTTAACATAACTCCAGCCTCTGTGCTTCAGCTGCTGTGAAATTCTGCTCGTTCTCATCCAGGGCCCTACCCCCTTCTTCCCCAGGGTGTTTGGATGTCCTTCTTCTCTAGGTGCAACATCTCTCCCCCAATCTCTTGGTTTCACCCTGTGTTAGCTAATTCCTAGTCATAATTCATATCTCAATTCAAGAATCTCCATGCCAGGAAGGCCTTCCCAGATCACCTCTCTATGTAAGATAAATCTGAAAAATACTCAAAGGAAAGGGGGTTGAGAAAGTTGGCAAATAATGACCATCTCCCTGTTCATTGATGGTGGCTGCCTGGAAGGCTGTGGAGAGTTTTCTGAGGCCAAACATGTCTTTAGCAGAGAAGGGTCACATCAGTGATCACTGATGTCCTCACAGTAGAAGAAAAGTATATATTTTGCAGCAAATGTATTGCAGATCTTCCTTTTCCACTTCAGATGCTACAGATTTCATTTTCTTTATAAATAATTGAGACTATTGACAGAACAGTATCTGAGGTGTATTTTAATCATTTTCTCAAATTTTCTTAATGGAAGGTGCCACAGAATAGAGAAGTGAGCACGCATGTTGCAGTCACACACACTAGTTTCTAATTCTCAGATCCACTACGTAGCTACATGCTTAATATTTGGAGATTTTTTTTTCCAACTTCTTTAAAAATCTGTAAAATGAGGATGCGTTTAGTACAAAATGACAGGAGAGTTGGTTGTTTTATGTAGGTGTGTGAATTGCCATACCTTGCATATAATAAGCACTCAGTGATTTCGATCAGCTTCTTGGATGTTGCTGAAAATTAGAATATACATTTCAATAAAAACACTATGCTTAGATTCTCAGCCAAAGCAGGAAATACACTTACTCTGGGCAAATTTTGGAGGATTGTCATTAACATCAGTAAGGGTTACTGTCAGTGTTGTGGTCCCAGACAGGCCACCGGAGTGTCCACCCATGTCTTTGGCTTGGATAACGACCAAGTACTCCTCCTTGGCTTCTCTGTCCATGTTGGGAAGGGCAGTTTTTATAATTGCTGATGGGGAAAAAAAATGGGAGAATGACTTTCAGGCAGGTAACTCATAAAATAAATGTGTGGAACACACACACACACACACACACACACACACATGCACATACAAGTCCCCACTCAGATGATTTCTGTTTTCTGTTGACATTTAACTGGTGTGCATTTGTAATGCCAACACTAAAAATGATCGCAGTCATAGACAGCTGTGGATAAGTTGCAAAATTCCATCTTATAATTGTTGTTCAAAACTTGCAAAAATATACATTCAAAAGTAAACTGAATGGCATAGTCTTGCCTACCAAATTAAAGTATAAATCATAACACAGCCTTGTCTACCCAGCGAAGCCCCGGAAGTGAAAGAGTCCTACAATTTATCACAGACTCCAATTCTCACACAAGAGGAGTAAATACACAAATAGCTTGAAGGCTCTGAGGTCAAAGATAAATTATTCTGGAGCTCACAAATCCATTCGAGAAGAAAGAAGTAAATGTGTTATAAGAATCAACTCAGATGAATAAAGCACCAATCAGAATTAATATAGGCAAGTGTCTACACCCTACGGTACTGTTCAACTACATTTATATTTTAATTGTTCAGATACATATTCTCTATTGTAAAAGAAACAGATATTTGAGAAAAGCAGAAAGATCTACAAAAGAGAAAACAGGGCAAAACATAAAATCATACAAAGTAACAAAATCATCAGTGCTAAAATGTCAATTTTTTTTTTCTTCTGACATATTTTCAGGGTTTTATCTGTCTGCCTCTTTGTGTGTTTTATTAGTAATTTAATTTCCTTGTTAAAGATTCAAAATTTGCATAGATTGTGAACTTATTTTGAAAATCTGTATTTAGTCCTCTCTCTACCCTCATACTTCTTTTTGTAGGTAAACATTACTAACGTGTGTATGATTCTAAGGCCATTACTTGTATATGCATAAAGATGTGCATATGTCTATGTAAATGTTTAACCACAAAAGTGATCATGATACAGGCTTTACTCTGGGACTTTATTCAGACATTTATTCAGTCTTTCAGTTATTTTCTTGTTAGTACATAAAGGTCCAACTCATTACTTCTTATAGGTGCATCATTGTTTGTTTATGAATGTATTATGAATAACTTAATCCCATATTAATGGACATTGCAGTTATTTCTGTTTGTTTTTTTTCTATTTCAAAGAATAGATAGCTTATAAATATATTACATTTTTCTATGTCTTACATTTTTACTTAACTCTATGTCATAAGATGGTTCTCCCTATATTGCTGAAATCCCATAAGAAAAATTATTGTGACTAGCCTAGTATAGTCCTGGATGTGTGTTATATCTCTGGCCCGAGTCAAACTGTCCAGATTAAAGATAATTCCCCCTTGCTTTTAACCAAGGGACATCACAGATGTTCAGTTCAAACTGGTGATCAGCCACATTCTTGGCCACTTCAGAAGTAATTCTTGTGTTTTTTGTTTGTTTGTTTTTTAGTTCACATGCTCTAATTATATCATCTGTCTGGAAAAGGTTTGCAAGAAGTTCAAGTCCCTGAATCATTTGAGTAGCAGGCAAGGCATAAGAGTGCCCAGGGAAATCTAATCCACCCAGGCAAGGGGCAGCCTCCGGGAAAAGCTGACTTCTCACGTACATTATTAGACTTCAACATGATTTTCTATCAGAGCCTCCCACTCAGGGAGCACTCAATTGGATATCCATGCTTATTTGAAAACACTGATGGTAACATAATATATTTCATTACAATAGTTTGTTTCAGGATTTGATCATATAATAACTCAATACATCACACTTATATGGTTATAAACAAAAACAGAAAGAAAAGGAAAAAATATATAGCAATTACTCAGACTTGGATCACTGTGAGGCATTGTTGAGGGGAAAACAAACATGTGAGCAAAAAATAGCAACAAGAACAAGAACAAAACCTCACTGTTATCATGATGAGGTACCAATATAGCAACCCTGCTATGGATGTGTTTTTTTTATAACTCAGCTTATCTAAATTAGGAGCCCAATTTCAATAGAAGGGATTAGAAAGTTTTTCATTCCCATGATAGTTACATGAGTGTTGTAAAGTTTAAATCTTTGTGAATTAAAGCCATCTACTAGACTTTGAAATCTGACATGGAACTCACAGTAATCAGAGGGAACTGGTATAATTCCTCAAGGAAAGCACCAACATTTTAAAAGAAGTTGATAGATTGAGGTCTACACTTGAGTCTTCTCAGGTTAATTCAGTAGAATAATTTTTCCAATGTTCAGTCAGAAAAGATTGGTATACATTATTCTCATCATTTCTACAATATACTGTGAGAGTGTAAATTTAAAAAAAAAAAAAAAAACAAAAACCTGTGAATTCTCTCAGACTCTCAGAATTAAAATAGTTTTGAGGCTCAGTTGAAAATAGCATAGTTGGGTTAGTGTTTATAAGTTATTTCAGAATATGAGTGAAGCATCATCACAGAGATCTTATTTGTTTATTTATTTATTTATTCATTCATTCATTTACTTTTGTTACAGATGTTTCTCCTTTTTCCCCCATGGACACCATTTCCCCCCTCTCTCTCCGCCCTGTCCCCAGCTTTGTTGTCCATATCCATTGGTCATGCATACATGCATATAAATTCTGTGGTTTATCACAGTCCACCACCCTATCTTCTGAGGATTGTCAGTCTGTACCCTACTTCCATGTCTCTGGGACTACCCCATTCCTCAGACTGTTATGTTTATTATGTTCCACAAATAAGTGAGATCACATTATACTTGTCTTTCTCTGTTTGGCTTGTTTCGCTTAGGATAATACTTTACAGGTCCCTCCATGTCATCTCAAAGGCCAAGAGATCTTTCTTTCTTACCGCTGCGTAGTACTCCATTGTGTATATGTCCCACTGCTTTTTTATCTGTTTGTCTACTGATGGACACGTGGGCTATTTTCAGATCTTAGTTATTGTAAATACTGCTGCTATGAACATGGGAGTACATGTATTCTTTCTGATTGGTGTTTCATGCTTCTTAGGGTATATTCCTAGAAGTGGGATCAGTGAGTCAAATGGCAGTTCAATTTTTAATTTTTTGAGGTAACGCCATAGTGTTTTCCATAGCAGCTGCACCAGTCTGCATTCCCACCAGCAGTGTACTAGAGTCCCCTTTTCTCCACACCCTCGCCAACACTTGTTGTTTGATGATTTGTTGATGGCGGTCATTCTGACAGGTGTGAGGTGATACCTCATGGTTGTTTTAATGTGCATCTCTCAGATGATTAGTGATGTTGAGCATTTCTTCACATGTATCTTAGCCATTTGTATGTCCTGTTTGGAGAGGGGTCTATTTAGATCCTCTGCCCATTTTCTAATTGGGTTCTTTGTCTTCCTTTTGTTGAGCTGTATTAGCACTCTATACATATTGAAAATCAACCCCTTATCTGATGTATCATTGGCAATCATGTTCTCCCATCGAGCGGGTTGACTTTTCATTTTGATGGTTGTTTCTTTTGCTGTGCAGCAGCTTTTTATTTGATGTAGTCCCATGTATTCATATTCTCCTTTGTTTTTGTTGCCTTAGGTAATGTATCAATGAAAATTCTGCTGCATATGATGTCTAAAATTTTGTTGCCTAAATTTTCTTCTAGGATTTTTATAGATTGATAAATCACATTTAAGTATTTTATCCATTTTGAGTTTATTTTTGTGTATGGTGTAAGTTGATGGTCAAGCTTAATATTTTGCAAGTAGCTGTCCAATTTTCTCAACACCATTTATTAAAGAGGCTGTCTTGACTGCATTATATGCTCTTGCCACCTTTGTCGAATATTAATAGGGCATAATGTTTTGGGTCCATTTCTGGGTTCTCTGTTCTGTTCCACTGGAATATATGCCTGTTCTTGTGTCAGTACCAGGCTGTTTTGATTACAGTAGCTTTGTAGAATAACCTGATATCCAGTATTGTAATTCCAACTACTTTGTCCTTATTTTTCAAGATTGCTGTGGCTATTTGGGGTCTTTATTGGTTCAATATGAACTTTTGAAGTATTTGTTCTAGTTCTGTGAAGATTGTCATTGGTATTTTGATGGTGATTGCATTGAATCTATACATTGCTTTCGGTAGTATGGACATTTTAATGATGCTAATTCTTCCAATTCATGAACAAGGTATGTGCTTCCACTTTTTTATATCTTACTTTATTTCTTTTTTAAATGTCCTATAGTTTTCTGAGAATAGGTCCTATATTTCTTTGGTTAAGTTTATTCCTAGTTATCTTAATTTTTTTGCTGTGATGGTAAATGGGATTCTTTTTAGTTTCTCTTTCTGTGAGTTCATCATTGGTGTATAAGAATGCCATCAATTTCTTGATGTTAATTTTGTATCCTGCTACTTTACCAACTTCATTTATTAAGTCTAGGAGATTTTGGACGGAGTCTTTGGGGTTTTCTATGTAAAATATCATATATTCTGTAAATAATGACAGTTTCACTTCCTCCTTTCCTATTTGGATCCCTTATATTTTTTCCTTCCTGTCTGATTGCTGTGGCTAAGACGTCCAGTACTATGTTAAATAAGAGTGGCGAAAGTGGGCATCCATGTCTTGTTCTTGTTCTTAAGGGAAACACTTTTAGTTTTTGTCCATTGAGTATGTTGGCCATAGGTCTTCATATATGGCCTCTATTCTGTTGAGATATGATCCCTCTATTCCCAGATTGCTGAGTGTTTTTATCAGAAATGGGTGCGGAATTTTGTCAAATGCTTTTTCTGGGTCTATTGATATGATCATATAATTTTTATCTTTCATTTTGTTTATGTGGTGTATCTCATTTATTGATTTGCGAATATTGTAACAGCCTTACATCCCTGGAATGAATCCTACTTGGTCATGGTGAATAATTTTTTTTTGATGTATTGCTAAATTCAACTTCCTAGTATTTTGTTTATCTGGGACATTGGCCAGTAATTTTCTCTCTTTGTAGTGTCTTATGCTGGCCTCATAAAATGAGTTTGGAAG